TAGGATAGTGGAATGATTGTCTTTTCTTTTTTCTATTCTAACTTGTTTATAATACATTATTTTTCTTTTTTTTTTTTTTGATGGAGTCTTGCTCTGTCACCCAGGCTGGACTGCAATGGTGCAATCTCAGCTCACTGCAAGCTCTGCCTCCGGGGTTCATGCCATTCTCCTGCCTCAGTCTCCCGAGTAGCTGGGACTACAGGCGCCCGCCACTGCGCCCAGCTAATTTTTTGTATTTTTAGTAGAGATGGGGTTTCACCATGGTCTCGATCTCCTGACTTTGTGATCCACCCACCTCGGCCTCCCAAAGGGCTGGGATTACAGGCGTGAGCCACCGCGTCTGGCCATTATTTTTCTAATAGAGAGAATAAATAACAAAGTGACACTTAATATTCTACCAGGTTATATTACTTTATTAGAATTATGGTGACCCCTCACCATGACAATGACACCCCACCCCACTGCCCACCCTCACACTCCCCATCACCAATGTCCGCTTCTCCCCTGTCCTGTCTAGCTGATTAATGATGGAACAGGAACAACTCGGAAAAGATAGGTTTGGAAGGAGTGGAAAGAGATGGTGGAGCAGAGGGAAGGTTTAACCCTGAGATTCATTCAGAATTCATTCATTCATTCAGAAACACGGAGTGGTCTAATGGGTGGGAAATGCTTCGGGTCAGACCATAGCAGTAGGGGAAGAATGCAGAGGCCTCCAAGTCAGAGGCAGCAGCAGAGCCAACTACACTCTAGGGGCCATGAGCCCAGATACCCAGAGACCAACTACCCAAGCAACATTGCGTTCGATCCAGGGAGGAATTAGGAGTTCAAGATCACCCTGGGCAACATAGCAAGACCCCATCTCTTAAAAAAATATTAGCAGGGCGTAGTGGCACATACCATGGTAGTCGCAGCTACTTGGGAGGCTGAGGTGGGAGGGTCACTTGAGCCTGGGAGTTCTAGGCTGCAGTGAGCCGTGGTCATGCCACTGCACTCCATACTGGGTGATGGAGTGAGACCTCTTCGCAAAAATAAATAAATTAATTAATTAAATTAAGAAGAATAAACTATAACTGCCTAAAATGGGAAGAAACATCTTTTTAAAACATTTAACAATTGTTATGGGTACATAATAGTTGTATATATTTCTGGGGTACATGTGGTATTTGATACAGGTATACAGTGTGTAATGATTGAGTCAGGGTAATTGGAATACCTGTCACCTCAAGCATTTATCATTTTTTTGCATTGGGAACATTATAATTCTACTCTTTTGGTTATTAAAAATATGCAATAATTTGTTAACTATAGTCACCCTATTTATTGTGCTACTGAATACTAGATCTTATTCATTCTATCTAATGGTATTTTTGTATCCATTAATGATTCCACTTCATACCCCCTTTATCCACTACCCTTCTCAGTATCTAGGCACCATCATTCTACTTTCTGTTTCCATGAATTCAGTTTCTTTTTTTTCAGCTCCCACAAATGAGTGAGAACATGCAATATTTGTCTCTCTGTACCTGGCTTATTTCACTTAAAATATTGTCCTCCAGTTCCATCCATGTCGTTGGAAATGACAGTATTTCATTATTTTCTGTGGCTGAAAATTGTGTTTGTATACCACAACCTCTCACCACATCTCCCACTTGCCAGCAACTACTCTCCCAGATACTCTTCTCTTTTTATTAATGAAGAATTGTCCACATTTCTGTTTAAGGCCACTGGATCCCATCACCTGCTCAAGGTCATCACTCCCGCAGTTCACTCCTCACTTCTGGATCATTTCCATCTGCATGCAAATGTGCCATGTTATCTGAGAATCAGTAACAATCCCCTCTCTTGACCCCACTTTCTGCCCAGGCTGTTGACCATTTCTGTTTCGGTTCACATCAGAACTCCTTGAAAACCTTACCTACCCTTACTGTTCCAACTTCGTGCCTCTCATTCTCCTTCAGCCTGCTTTAGTCAAGTTTTCGTTCCTGCTCACTCCACCAAAACTGCTCTTGTTAAGTTCCCCCATGACTTCCATGTTGCTTAACCCAGTGGTTCATTCTCAGGCCTCTCAGCCACATCTGAGACAGTTCCATCACTCCCTTCTCCCAGAAATTCTCTTTGCTTGGCTTCCAGGATCCCAGGCTCTCCTGATTTTCTTTCCACCTCATTGGCTGCTCCTCCTCAAATCCTTTGCTGACTCTTCCCCATCTCTTTGTTCCCTTAAAAATGGAGTGCTCCAAGGCAAGCCTTCAGACCATTTTTCTTCTGAATCTACACTCACTCTTGGCCATCTCATGGAGACTAATGGCTTTAAACACCATGTATATGCTAAATACTCCCAAAGCTGTCTAGAGCCCAGACTTTTCTTTGGATCCAGGCTCTTATCTCCAGCTATCTACTCTATTTCAGTGTCTAGCAGGCATCTCACTCTTAATCCTCATTTTACTTTCCAAGTTCACTCTTTTTTCTCTTCCCCCTAGCCTATTCTCAGCAGGCTAGCCAGAGTGATCCTATTAAAACATGGGGCAGATCATATCACTATTCTACTTCAGACCCTACAATGGCTTCTGGTCACTCTTAGAAAAAAATCAAAATCCTTACCATGACTTATTTAGGCCTTACTCAGTCCGCCCGCAGTTAGTTTCTGTTCATTCTGTGCCAGCCACGCTAGCCTTCCAGCTGCTCCTGGAACAGGCCAGTCATGCTCATGCCTAAGGGCCTGCTCAGTTGCTGTCCCCTTTGCCCAAATTGCTCTTCCCCCGGATATCTGCATGGATTCTTCCATTGCCTCTTTCAGGTCTTCATTCAAACATTCCTTCTTGTGGAGGCTTTCCTTGACCACCCTATGAAAATTGCAATGCCCTTTCTTACCCATCTTCTCTAACTTATCACTCCCCTTGGTACTATCACCTTCTAAATATAGGTTTTTTCTGATTTACTTTATTATGTCTCCCACATCCCCAGAATGTAAGCTCTGTGAGGGGTGGGATCTCCATCTGTTACCTGATGTATCCCCATGCCCAGGTCAGCACCTAGAGCCACAGAAGGTGCTCAATATACACTTGTTAAATATCTGATAATGTATCAGAGAATATAGGCTGCATGTGATCTTCAGAAAACCAGTTTTCCAGAGGAAGGGATCAGATCTGCAACTAGGGTTCTTTCTTAAATTCACAAAGCTGAAGCACTTGCTGTGAGGCAGACCCTTGTGTTTGTGTGATGGGCTGTGCTGTCCCGGTGAACCCTCGCTGCCCATTCACACCACTGAAAGCTCTTTCCGCTGAACACCTGAAACTGAAACACCATGCAACATTTTTACTATTGGTTTAGGAGTACTCTTTTAGTAATGATCAGGCAGCTTTGTTTTCCACGAAATGCTTCTTTTTAAATGTTATTTTATTTTGTAGCAATAAAATAGGCTTCAAGATTCACATATTATCTCTTGCATTTATTCTACTTTTTAGCCATATCAAGTAACTGCACATTTAAAATAAATAATTGCTGCCCACCACAGTAATACATCTTGCTTTCACTGGAGGTTGTAGCAAAAAAGTGAATTCTGGAAATGCTTATGTGGACAGTAGCAACCCACCCTCAGGCTGAGAATACTTGCTGGCTGCTTCTTGAGAAGCAACCGCTGAGTCTATAGGGCAAGACAATGCATTTGAGTAAATGTGAGAAAAGAACTGAGAATGTGGAATTTCATTCTCCCAGTTTTGATGCAGAAAACGGCAAACTGCCCATAGTTATCCACCCCCTCCTCAATTATAACAATACGAAATACAAGAAAAATTTGTAAAATTTATTTACAATGCAGTTGTTGAAAGGAATAAAACAGTTAGCAATGGTATCTGACTTCTGAATTTGATTTATAAAAATATTAGAGAGCTCTTTTTTTTGTATTTTCCTATTTCATTTGGGGAATGATGAAGAGAGAGTCTTTTTTTATACTTATAAATTTCAGACTTTGATGTCATTTATCACAGTATCGTCTGGAATTCCGAAAATGTTGTGTCAGGGGTGATCTGCGTATTTCTGGACTTGACATTTGATAGAAGTTGGGTAGCCGAATATCATAGTGATATCTTTTTCCTATATATACCCTGTCATTCAAGGCATAGAGTTTATCTGCAATGTCACTGCCAATTAGCACTGAAAACAAGCGGGAGATATAACGATGCTGAGCAAAGAGCAGATACAATTTCTTTCTCCTCCAAGACACATATCGACAATCAGTTTCTGCAGTGAGGGTTACCTAGAAAACACAAGACCACACATAAACAGATGTGGAAGCAAGAAAACTTCTGCCACATTTTTTCTACCCCAAATGTTAAATTAATTTCACCTGCTGCCTTTTTTAGGTGGAAAAAGCCCACTGACCTACTATATATTGCAAAAATCGAAACTATAAAATTTGTTACTACATATATAATTTATAATATGAATAATCAAAATGTTCTAGCCATCTTCAATCTATCTGTTTTTCTAAGTTCCAGTATCTATATTTCTTTTATTGAAGGGAGAACTACTTGATATTTTTTTTAAAAAGTTGACTAATGTTACAGAAATATTTCCAAGTCAATTCTGAAGACTGCAGACATTTAACCCTAATGCAGTTTCTGTAGTAGAAAATAGAATGTATATACCTAATTTGCATACATACTTGAGTTTGCTGCATACACACATATATTTATAAGAAAACTGTGTGATGAAATAAATGAAACCTGCTGAAATGATTATCTTTCAAAACTGCCAGACGTGGCAGCAGAGTAATGACAGTTAGTTTAGCATTCTGTTGCTGGAAAACAAGTGAAATCCACTGGCATTTTAAATTTTAAAAATCATTTATTTTTTAATAAGAGCAGTTTTTGTTCTTGATGTTTTCTAGACTGTCGCATTAGCAGTGTTTAGTCAAATCTCAATTATATTTCAATTCCTAAATACGCAGTTATGCAAATTATAGCTTAAAGTATTGATCACAGCCTCCTTTCTGTCATATGTAGCACCTGCTCTTCTCATCACTGGACCTATAAAGTGGCATTAATCATCAGGAGTCCACCAGAATTGGGAAGTCATGTATGCTGCAAAGTGCATTCCAAAGTATTAAAATATTCTTGCCTTATCCACTGTTCTGTTTGGTTACCTATTATTAAACAAACATCTGTTTGAAAGAGGGAGTGCTAACTGTGTGGTCTGGTATCCCTTACCTGAAAAATGCCTTCCTCTGTGGGTCTCAGTGAATCCCACTCAGGAGAATCCAGGAACTGAAGGGGGAAAATGTAATGCAGAAATTCGCCATCAACTGTCACTCTGATCCTATCAAAACACAGGAACAACTTTTATAAGGGAAAGAGAAAGACAGCACATAATTGGGGAGGGGTAGGGAGTAGAGGAAGTGTATTTCAGATCCCTGATGACTCTTTTGCCCTTTACGATTTTGAAAGGCAAATATTAAATTCATACATTATAATAAGTGACATAATATCCTGTGAGATTCATGTTCTCATGTTCCTTACACAGTCAGGATTCTGGAATATTGAGTGAAATTCAGAAAATGCATCAAGTTGTACATTTATGATATATATCTATTTATGCATGCATATTATGCTTCAATAAAATGTTTTAATGGACTCTGTCAGATTTTACATTAAGTAGGGAAACATTTAAGAACATAGAGGAGTTCTGCAAGTACCTCTGTCAACCAAATTTTTATTTATTTATTTTTTGAGACGGAGTCTCACTCTGTTGCCCAGCGTGGAGTGCAGTGGCATGATCTTGGCTCCCTGCAACCTCCTCCTCCCAGGTTGAAGCGATTCTCATGCCTCAGCCTCCTGAGTAGCTGGGATTACAAGCGTGTACCACGATGTCCAGCTAAGTTTTTTGTATTTTTAGTAGAGATGGGGTTTCACCATGTTGGCCAGGCTGGTCTCGAACTCCTGACCTCAAGTGATCCACTAGCCTTGGCCTCCCAAAGTCCTGGGATTACAGGTATGAGCCACCACGCTTGGCCTGTAAGCCAAAGTTTTAACTTTTTGAAAACCATGAGTAATCCCACTATTGTTTCCTCTCCTAAACTTTGTTTTCAAAGTTTATTTTATTTTTGAGATAGTGTCTCATTCTGTTGCTTAGGCTGGAGTGTAGTGGCGCGATCTCAGCTCACTGCAACCTCCGCCTCCCACCCAGGCTCAAGCAATTATCCTGCCTCACCCTCCCGAGTAGCTGGGACTACAGGCACATACCACCATGCCTGGATAATTTTGTTTTTGTATTTTTAGTAGAGATGGGAGTTTCACAGTGTTGGCCAGGGTGGTCTTGAACCACTGACCTCAGGTGATTATCCTGCCTCGGCCTCCCAAAGTGCTGGGATTATAGGTGTGAGCCACCACACCTGGCCTGTTTTCAAAGTTTAGATTTCTATGTATGTGCCTGAAGTGTCCCCCTAGCCTGTTTCTTATGGGCAATTGCTAGAATTTACTAAAGAAAAAAAGATAATAATAAAATTTAAATGTTCTCTGTTACTTAAAAGAATGCCCTATCAAAGAGTCTTTAAAATACTTTGCACGCCAATATAAGCATTCTATTAATTCAAGCTGACATCATCCTCTTCTTGACTTTCAGTAATTATCTAGGAAACAAATACCATATCCAGATAAACAAATTCATACTTTAATTTTAAGATTCATGTAATTTGATGTCTAAGATGAAATATTAAGGCTCTTGATTATTTTCTGCTTCAAGTAAATAATGCCGTATACTCTAAACGGCTATGTCTGTGACTCATGTATCAAAGACTTCCTCAAGCCTCAGGGTGCTAAATGCCACCCAAGACTATGCAATACTGAGATGGAAAAATATAGTGGAAGGAAATACAAACAACTAATACTTGAGGAAAGACATGCAAGCACCAAAGGTACAAACCTTCCTGAAACAAGCAAGGAGAGTTTATCAATGGAAGTTTTCCCCTGCATGGCATAACAGTGTTCCTTTTCCAAAGTAACCACTTCAGAGCTCAAAGCAATCGTTCTGAAGACAGGCAAAGAGATCCCCAGGGGCTGGAAAAGGGAGCTGTACAGCACTTGGAATTCTCGGGCAAAGGTTATGCTGCGAACTTGATATGCAATATGAACAAATTGCATGAAGCAGATGACAAACAGTACAAAATTCCAGGAAAATATGTCAGCTGCACAGACATCTACCCAAGCCCAGACAGCAGAACAGAGAAAACCCAACCCCAGCAAACTGAAGACATAAAGGAGCCCGAAGAATCCACTGCCACCCATGAAACCTACTACAAACAAAATACTGGCAAGATGATAAATGGCTCCTTCGGCCTCTTGTTTCCAGGTTGTGCAGACTGGGTGTTCATCTATTAGGTTCTTCCATAAAGTTGAATTTCTTTCCATGGCTATATTACTGCCTGCTTCACTTTTCAGTTGACTTTAGATGACACTGAAACAGGTAACTAAGTCCTTTGGTTTTCTTTCCATCATGAGAGTTTTGCTCAGTCTTCACAAAACCAGAGAAAACCTGGACACTGGAGTTGGTGCTGATTAAAGGCTTCGTGTGTATGGATCTTGAAAAACTAAGAATCCCAGGCTCGCTTCTTTAAGTTCATCTGGGCTCCTGATTTGGATCCAGTCCGCAAATATTTTGCTATTTCCTATGCAAGGGAAAAAAAGGTAAAGGATCTAATTAAACAAAACGGAGAATTGTGAGGTATACTTAATGATCAGCAGCATTACTTAGCAAGCTGACCTCCTATTTTCTATGAACTCGAGTTTTTTTTTTTTTTTTTTTTTTTTTTTTGAGACGAGTCTGGCTCTGTCGCCCAGGCTCGAGTGCAGTGGCCGGATCTCAACTCACTGCAAGCTCCGCCTCCCGGGTTTACGCCATTCTCCTGCCTCAGCCTCCCAAGTAGCTGGGACTACAGGCGCCACCTCGCCCAGCTAGTTTTTTGTATTTTTTAGTAGAGACGGGGTTTCACCGTGTTAGCCAGGATGGTCTCGATCTCCTGACCTCGTGATCCGCCCGTCTCGGCCTCTCAAAGTGCTGGGATTACAGGCGTGAGCCACTGCGCCCGGCCGAACTCAGAGTATTTTAAGCACAAGTGCTGTTGGGTGTTAAATTTCTATGGTCTAAAAAGTATATTTATTAAAATTAGCTACATATTTTTCAAGGTAGCTAAGTGCTCTATATTAATCTCGTCTCTATGGGAGTGATTCAGTATACCTCAGAATCACTTGGGACAGTGACTAAAAATGTGGGCCGGGCGAGGTGGCGTGTGCCTGGAATCCTATCCCTTTGGGAGGCTGAGGCGGGTGGATCACTTGAGTCCGGACGTTTGAGACCATCCTGGCCAACATGGCGAAACCCCGTCTCTACTAAAAATATAAAAATTACCCGGGCGTGGTGGCGTGCGCCTGGGATCCCAGCTACTCAAGATGCTGAGGCACAAGAATCACTTGGACTTGGGAGACAGAGGCTTCAGTGAGCCGAGATCGCACCACTGCACTTCAGCCTAGGTGAAAGAGTAAGACTCTGTATTAAAAAAATATATATATATTTACACACACACACACGTATATGTATGTGTGTGTGTGTGTGTGTGTGTGTGTGTGTGTGTGTGTGTATGGACTGCTCCCAGATACATGAATCAGAATCGTTGCAGGCGGGGCCCAGATGTTTGTATTTTAAGCTCCCCATGTGATTCTGATGTGTTAATCCATGGTTCTCCATGGCCCACCCTTTGAGGGATACTATCTGATAATAGGTTATTCACCACTTACACATGAATTTGAGGCTTAGAGAGGTCAGGTAATTTATCCCAGGCCACACAGTGGTCACTGGCAGAGCAGAACTTTGGCACTCATGTCCATGTGCTGGGTCCAATCTTGTGGCCTCTCATGAAAGATTTTTAAATTTGGCATGATAAGGAACCCTACTGTATCAATAAACATAAGAAACATAATTAGAAGTCACATTCTAAGAGCATTAATTGACTATGAAAATGTTTAATAAATTAGATTGAAATTATTTGAGAAACATAAATGTAGTACTACTTTGTTGTATTAGTAGTTATTTCAGGTTAAAGTTTGCATCATATGACTAAATAAATATTAATATTCCTGTTACTTACGTATTTATTTACCAGATGGTCAAAAATATTACCAGCTCTGTTCCTCTGCACATATATTCTCTAGCCTTTCAGCCATATGGTGGAAATGCTAATATGTAATCTGAGTCAGGAGAGCATTAGCCATGATGACAGAGCTACAGGATATATGTATCATTTGCCACCCGGTTTCCTAACAATAAATGATTTCAGTGTAAAGCATTCATGACATTGATTTTTTTAAAACCATGGTAACATTCAAAAGCCTTGAACTTGTGTGCTATATTTAGTGTTTTATTTTTGAAATAGATTATTTCCAGCACACCTGTTAATAAACTATCAGATATCACAGATCTTGCCCCATCGGGGAAAAAATACACAGAGGTGAAAATGACTTAGCCGGAGTAAACAAAGATGGAACAGTGTAATCACCAACAGAAGTAGAAATGGAAATAAAGGAGCTGTTGTTGAAGTTCCTGATCTTTCATCTTAGATAGTGATTCTTTTCTCAGTAAGTAATAACTTTAAGAACACTGCCAGGTGAATCATTTAAAAAAAAAAGAAAAAAAAATTTAGACTTACAACTTATAGTCATATTGTTGTTTTTACTTGTTTTCAATTACATTTCAAACATCCTGCATATCCCTAATTATTCTCCCCACCAATCAATCTATGAGATGATGGTGATGAAATTCAAGACAGGCCAGCATCCTGAACATGTTCAGTTTCTCCTCTTTTAAACAAAGCACAAAATTCTATTCTACTGGCTATGACAATAAAGAAAAAATTATTTTACAAATACAATGAGTAGTGAGAACTGCAAAATACCAGGCTGCAAATGTCAGTCTCCCTGCTGTTTCAAAACTAGGGCATTTTAAATCAATCAATTCTTCAGGATACCAAACACACCCACGAAAGCCAGTATTAAAAAGATTTGCTAGTGGAGCTCTGAACTTTGGTTTGAACTTCCTTAAAAATTTATATTCCTCAGCGAAATGTTAAATGATGCT